AACAATCCAAATAATTCTATTTTGTTTCAAACTAATACAATAAACACTTAGAAAAGTAAATATAATAATCAGAACACTAATCAGGGAAACTGTCAAATACATGTGTTTTGTCATGTCTCTTGTTGCCAAACTAATTTTAGGAGTAGCTGTATTATTTCTTCCAAACATTTTACTATTTGTTTCTTACAGTCGCAAATGAAAATCAAATTTATACGGGTATGATACAACAATTATCTATAATATCCTGAGAATCGCAGAAATACAGAAACATACATAATTAAAACCTTGCTGAGAAAGAAGAAAAGGATAATGTTAAATAAAAAGTATTTCCGTCATTTAGAGCTCCTGTGAAAAATGATTAAATTTTGTAATCATTGGATAAATATATTTTTATAATTTCGGTTTATTACCTATTATTTTGGAAATATCGATTTATTATTTTCGATTATTATTTATTATTTTGGAAATATTAATTTCTCTCTTTTCATATATATATAATATATATATGAAGAGAGAGAAATTAATATTTCCAAAATAGTTAATTGAAAACCATTATATATCGCTTAAGATACTGTGAAACTAATGTGAATGTAATAAAATATAAATCTTCGAAATTTCTAGGCCGAATAAAGCATAAATAAAAATAAACAACAGGAGTAAATTAAAACAATGAAACCTTGACGGTTCTTTGGTCTTAGTCAAAGAGTATCAACGAAAATTATCGCCAGCGCGAAGACCGAATAATTATCAACTTTTTAGCCAAAGGGACGGTAAGCAATAAGGGTTATTAGTCTCAAAACAACATTCTGTGACTTTTCACTATAAACGGCGAATCACTTTAAAATTTTTGCCATCAAATATTATCGCATTATATTTAAAGAAATTAAATAATGAAGAATCTGCATGAATATATGTTATGTTTCTCTCACTAGGAAAAAACGACGGTACCTAGATCCATCAAATTCTGAATAGTGTAACCCTTCACCCAAACACTGCTACTTGGCAGCCCGAATTTTGAATTTCGAATTTGTTTTATTATCTATTTAATATTTTGTAAAACACTAACTAATTTTTTTAACAAACTCAACAATTTCAAAGCGAGCAATGGCAACATTGTACGGATAACATTATTTTTATCTCCAGCGCGCGAAACTGTCTATCGGAAATTCTAAAGATATGCTGTTTTTTAATATTTTATTATATTGCTGTTGAATCGAATTTTGTGTGATTTAATTGCAAAGAACATGGTACTAAAAAAAAAATAAAGGTAACATACAAAACGCTAAACAAACTCCCTTTCGACGTAATATAAAATCTGAAAGCTTTCGAATTTTGTTTTCATAACTTTTATTATTTAAGAAAAAAACAATAGTTTCACTCACAAGCAGCAAAAAAATGTGCGATCAATGATCCCAATAACCACGAGTAATAAACGCAGGAACTGCCCAACTAAAATACGTGTTCTCGCTCGGGCTTCTGCACATATGGTAAGAAAGAAGTACTTCCCGATTCTAAGAAGTCATTGAGCATAGTAAATGAGATTTTTTAGAATATAACGGAATTTAATTCAGAAATATTTCTGCTTTGTTATTATAGTTTCAGTATGCTATAATGCGAATTATTTTATAACTATATAAGTTTAATACAATTATCATTAACTGAGAAACAGCGTATCTAAAGATTATATAACCACTAGATAAATCATAAGTTTTATACCATCAATTCAAAATATATCAAGTAATTAGAATACAATTAATCCCAATTTTTTTATTAGAAGAAAACTGCGACAATCGGCAAAATCATGCCACTTAAGGTTAACACTAAATTTTGCATCTTCATTATTAACGTCAAAAATTCCTCCTGGAAGATCAGTTAACAGTGAAGTATTGTCGATAATTTCAATTTTTAATGCAAAACAATTTCAGCGCTAATCAGTAAGGTTTGGTTCAGCCCATTAATAAATTTATTTTGTCAGAACCGTTTTCAGGTGTGTAATCAGTTATGTCTAGAAATTATTTTTAGTTAGGGTAAAACACGTTCCATATCTGCATTAAAAATAATTGTGGTAATGAGATTAGCATTTTGCTTCGTAGAAAAGTACAAAGCTTTAGATGGTAAAAATTTGTACCAAAATGCAGGCATCTACTATATCAGACTATTTGTAAATTAGCAGGTAATAGTAACAATAATTATAGAATATTATTAATCGAAAGTAATTGAACAAGATATCAACTTCAATTAATTTTAAATGCCGATGTTATGATAAGAAAAAAATTAATTTAATAAACTATGCTACCTGTTTTTCATTAAAATAATAAAATTTTATGCGAAATTTCATAAAACAAAAGTCATTAAAAGAAGATACATGAAACCAAATAAGGTTTTACAAAATAATATGCGATTTCACAGAATTTTGTAATTCAAAAAGAAGGGAAATACTCGTATGCCAATGCGAAATTTGAAATTATGCTCCCCCCCCCAAAGAAAAAAGAAAAATGTGATCTTAGTTTGGCGTAGAATTTGAATAAAACTTTCAAGGGCAATCTTACGTTATTCCTCTCTTTGAGAGCTCGTCTCGTCGTCTCGTAATTCCTAATTTTAAATTTTGTTACTTGCTCTATGCGCCAGAATAAAAAAAAATTAGTATGCTAATTTACGTCAAAATAATTATTTCTTGGGAATTTTTTTGATGAAAAGCAAAATGATAGAGGACAAATTTTTTATGAAGATTATATTCTCCGCCTTTCTCCTATATTCTCCGCCATGAGATAAATTTAACTGTAAATCTGTGAGATGTTTGTTTAAATTATAATCTCGGAAATAAACAATTTTGGCAAATATATTTCTAAAAGGTGTATTTTAAAGTAATTAAACTTAAATTCCGGTTGATGAAGATTAAGCATATGATAAAGTAACTTAAATTCAGAATAGATAATTAACTACAAATATAAACAGTTTCCGTTAAATGCTTTAAATTTGAGAACGCACTTTTTGTTTCAGGCATTTTTAATTGAAATACACGTTCGTTTAATTAAGCATCTGGATTACTATCTATCTATATTTTAAACAATACGCGAGTTACTTTCTTTGCAATGCAGAATACTTTAAAAAATATTTCAACTTACGTTACTTAAAATAATTTTATAATTGAAAACGAAAATAATTATGAAAATAATTTTGGCAAAGGAGAATATTAAATTTACGTGAAAAGGAATTAAATGTGACAGATGACATTCCGATGTACGTATCTCGCTTATGAATGCGCTCTTCCCGACTTTATTCCCTGTATAAACTCGTAAAATCTGAAATTGTGTCATTACACACATATTTGGCAGTCTGTAAGAAATGCTAAAATGATTACAAATTGCTAATTTCTTAACCGTTTTAATTTCTTAACCTTTTTTTATCTATGTTTGTAAGAGAATTTCCATTTGAATGTACTATGACGTAATCTTAAACATATCGAGATATTATAAATTTATTGTACTTCCTCTTATAACTTATGATTCACAAATATTGTAAAAAATTTTAGTACCTTGAATCTAGTAATTTCGAAATTTCACATGAATTTTTGGAGCAATTTCAGGTATGCATTTTAAGAAAGCGTTCTAATAATAATTTTTAAAAAATGTGTATATGTTGCAGTAAGAGGTAATGCCAACTATGTTATACTGTTATTCGTCTATTGTTTTGAAATATTACATTCAACTAAAAAAAACTGCCATTATCACAAAATTGTACTTTTATCTACAGTTCATGTAATAAGAATTTAAACACGGTACTGAAAATTCTAACTTTAATTTCTGATTCAGCATTTGTTTGTATTCTTTTGCTTCAAAATATCCAATTCTCTTAATATATCTGTATTTGTGTCCAACATCAGTTCATAAAAAAAATAATTTTAAATTACAATTCTTACATAATTTCCCGTTTGCAAACTAAATTCCCTGGACTTAATGCTTGTGTAAGATATTAGTATTAACATTTTACTATCACGTGGCGAATAAATATATAATGTAAACTACAATTTTAAACTTTAATTGATGAGATGGTCGTAATTTGCAGAGCCGGGCCTAATGAATTTACAAATAAAACAAAGTTGATAAATAAAGTATTTTGTCTGCTAACCTACAAAATGTTTAACTTTCTTTAAAGATAAAATCCGGTCAATCAAATTGAAGATAACAAACTGAAATATATATTCTTAATAAAACAAAAACCATTAAATAAAACAGGATGTTAACATACTTAAGATGGATACCAAATCAGCTGAAGTTTTAAAAGGATTCGCAGTTCAATAATTGCCGACATTTAAAAAAAGCATTAGAAATACTCAAACGTTTTTTACTACCTATTTCTAATTTAACTTTTGATTAAATACTTAATTGTTCTGTTTTTTCTTGCAAGCGTGTATTTTGCTCAAAATTATATTTGTACTTATCTGATATTTGGGTATCATACTAAAAACTAAGAATCTGTAAAATCATTATTTTGTGGAAGGTGGGACGTTTCAAAACCAAATGTGCGTCACACACATTCGAAAAGAAAACAGAGTCATGATCACTACGTAATAATTTTATATGTATTTCAGAGCAAATGCATTTCTGCGTTTTAGTGTAAAATACCGAAAAACAATTTAGAAAATTTAGATAAGCGAAAATAACAAGATTTTTTATTTTAGCATGGTATCTAGATTTACGATAGTATCTAAATCAATAAAAACCGTAATCTAACTTGTATATTATTTAATAAAATGTTTAAATTTTAAATTAAAATGCTACCTGTGTCATTTATCTTTGAAACATATTAGATACGCCAAACTTTATGCAAGACATAAATGGTTAATTTTTTTTACTAAATTTCGATACAAAAAATAAACAACATAAATCCCAATTTTCCTTTTTCAGAAGCAATTTAAATTCTTCACGCACATGTGTGCAGAAAATTTTATATGTCTCCCATTTCAAGAAACAAAAACTTAACAAAAACAAAGTACTTACCTTTTACCTTCTGTGATGTTACCAAGGTCAAGAGATAAATCACTAAGGCCAGTGATCTTATACAAGCCCACGACCAACTAGTAGTCACTAACTTCATGCCTTACAAGAACACTCCGGACAAAAAAAAAAAAAAAATTTGTCCCGTGCTCTCACCGAGTTGACACACCACAAAACTCTTCTGTTATTATTTGATTCCTGAACACTTGGTGGTCTAAACGGTACGTTCTTGTTATTGTAAAAAATGTCGCTCATCGGCGGCAGTTCTGTTGTATCATCGCGAGTTAGAGACGTTTTAAAAAGAACGGGTTTTTTTTTACTAAAAACAAAAAAAAAAATTTTTTTTTTTAAGAGGCCCGAGGTGTAAGTGTCGAATGGAAGCCGGAATAGTCGTGGCACAGGTAAGAAAGAAGGAGCTCGGAACCTAGCGGCGACCTCAAGTGAAACTTTTCTGACTCAAAAAAGTTTGTTTCGCCTCGTGACATCATTAGCGTGACGTCACGGCGATTTCGCGGCGGGATTTCTGACTGCCTTGGGTTTCAGCGAAAATAACGAAATTGGGGAAGGAGGTTGATAGGAAGAATTTATCGGCACTCATACATCTCTCCAAAGCCCGAATTTCCTCAGAGGCAAACGGGGAATCCAGATCCCCTTATAGTATTTAAATTTGTGAAATGTTATGTGTTTTATTTATTTCTGGCTTAGAAAATATAAAATTTAAAGCAGCAATAAAATGGTAAACTTCGTATCTTAGTTCTTTAACATCTTTCACTTCTAAAAAAACTGAATTTTTAAATTCTCTGTTTGATTTCTGTACTTAATTATTGAAATAAGGAATAATTTAATTGCATTTATTTTGTAGTGTAATCATAATCAGGTTTGTAGCAAAATCAATAAGGATTCTTCTGTTTTCTGTTTCTTTTAGGTGGACAAGATTCTGCTCTATTATGTGTAAATTAGCATTTCGTGCAACACATACTACATTAAAACCGTTACCATTTAAAAACATTTTAAATGTTAAAGTGTACTTTATGTTAAAGTACTCTGTAGTAAAGTGTATTTTTTGTTTTGATGTATCAGTGCATCATCTCTTGGGTAACATTTTTCATTTAAATTTTAAATAGCTATAAATGAAAAATGTTAAATATAAGATTATTTCACGGAATCTTTCATATGAAATGTACTTTACACGTAATATAATTTACACCAGTAGCATATAATACTTTAAAGAACTAGAGAAGAATCCTCCATAACATGTTTCGTCCTTGGTCTTCAGTGTTATAAATCAGATTCTCCATCTGTCTATTGATATATCTAGTTATCTTTAATCGAATCTTAGACATCCTAGGGACAAGTTTCAGCTAGCCCTTTGAAGGACAGAACATTTTTGGGGAGAGAGGACGCTGTCTCAAAGTTTTCTCTGGTATTTTTTATTTCAATCAGTAGATGACAAGATATGTTCGAGAACTCGAAAATCTGCATCGAATTTCATTTTATTTATTTGAATTTATGTTCAGCCCACTAGAGTTCAGATGGATAATCCGCTGCATACTGGTTATTGAGTCCATATACAAACCAGGCAAAGGGGAAAGCTGCTTTAATTTTCAGTATTTTCTGTACGAATAATTTTACATATAAAATCTGGTTTTCCTTATATCTCATACAAATACGAGCCAGTTTTACTTTGAAAGTCCTTCACGAAAGTAACCGCTTGTCAAATAGCTCCCACATGTTTTGCCATATTAAAATATATGAACAGATTTTCAGGAAATGATCTTTTCTCTTTGGCGAACAGCACACGTGCGTTTTCCCTTGATCAGTTAATTAAATTTTGGTAAATTTTCGAACGCGTTTTAAATAATATGCCTTAATTTTATCATTGTTTACAAAGCAAAAGACATAGAACACTTTTTAAAAAGATCGCTTGATTTATTAATGAATGAAAAATTTTATCAGATACAAAAAATACAAGTAAAGAAAATGATGCACATGCAATCAGCAGAATACAGGTAAAATTTAAAGCGCAGATGCTAATAGCCTTCGCTTGAAGAACACCAAATCAACAAGACCAATAGATTGTCATAAAGTGCAAGAAGCTTTGAGTGCTAAAAAATGAAAAATTGGACTATGAATTAGATTCGTGACAGCGTACGATAGGGTTGTCTGCCGAAGGCGAAGGATGCTTTTGTGGAAAACATATAAAGAAAATCACGAAAACTCTGTGGACCTAGTCCAATCACTCGATGATGAGTTTTATTGCTTCAGCAAGTCTCATTTAGCTATGTTATAAATTTAATCAAAACTCGATTTTGCCTAATACTAAAACTTTAGTGGCCCATATCTTTGTTTACGTATTCTGTATTTTAAAATTATTATGTCTACCAGAATACAACAAAATAATATTTAAACTTAGAAATGTGCCATGTTGACAGTAAGTAGAACCTTCGCTGTCGTCCCCCGTTTATGCGCACGTCCTCTGGAAACGAATTCGATGTTACTGTCTGTCTACCAGAAAAAATGGCATCGCCATTATGTCTAGTACTAATTGGTCGTGGTGGTCGCTATAGAAACAGGACAAGTACTCGTATATTTTAAGTACAGGTGAGCCAAGTGAATGTTTTATTGTTAGTTTGTTTGGCGAATTTTAGCCGCGAGAAAGAGAAAGTTTAGAAAAAATAAATTCGCCATTAAGATGGTGGCAAACTTAAAAGCAAACCTTAAAAACACCCCTACGATAAATGGGTTAGAGCTATTTTCTGTGATAACAGACAGTTGAATATTATTTGTCGAAATCTAATCTTGTAATAAAAATAATAAAAATACAGTACATGAAGTCGTCCAAGATATATTCGGAATAAACTGGATTTTAAACAACGATATATCAAAGAGACAGAGTCTATCTCTTTGAAGTCCTTGCTATCTGAAATAATCTCTATAGAACTTAATATTTTAAAAACCAATTTTTTTAATTTTTATCTATGCTGTATTTCTTATTTAGTTAAATTTACTAAAATATTTTCACCTGTTTTGCGCCCCATTTGAGGCCGTGACTCATAGACTGAATACCACTGATAAAGAGTACGACAGTTTTTTTAATTATAATATCTACATTTATTTTATTTATAGCTTAGACCTGTGCCATCAAAATGTAGATACAAATTCTTTTAGGGTAAGGTCAAAAGTTCAAACCTTAATAATGTGCACAATGCTGACAGCTCTTCATGATTTTTTTTTCTTCTTCTCATGTGACTTATTTCCTGCAAGCCTAAACAGTACAATTAATAGAGAGAGTGCTCCACCACCAACATTTATTACATTAAGATCAGACCTCGTGGTATAAGTTTAAACGGTAGTAATTTCTCTAGCCACTCTCTTTTAAAAAATCTTAAGAAACAGGCAATAGTGAAACAATGTCAAATCTTGTAAATATTAAAATTTCTACTAGCGCTTAAAGTGTTGATGGTTAAAAAAACATGCAGAAAAATATCACAAAAGTAAGCATGATTTTTTTTTTATTTTAATAGAAAGGAACAGGAATTTTGAATAAAAGCAATAACATCGGCCAGGCAAAATGGATCTCAAGTAGATTGGTTATCCTTCAGTGTACTCTCGACTTCCTGCTGCAGCATCTACAAGGCTGTAAGGCATCTCATCTTCCAATCTATCAACTTCTTTCTGGAGCTTTCGTACAGATTTTTCAAGAAACTCCCCAAGCTTGACAGCTGGTGAAATGTAATGTCACATGCCTCCTCTTTTTATACTAACTTCAACATACTTCATATTATTATCAACGACGCTTAATTCAGCAATTATATCTATTGATATACCTATAATTATACCTATTGACGCTCTTTCTTCTGTATTTTCCAAACTGCTTCCGACATAACAATATAGCGTGCCATCTCTTCATATTTCTTATTTGAAATCAGTATTAAATTTAACGAATAATTGAGATTAATAGTACTCCGTATATCATGTCCGGGTCACGAGATTTTCAACGGCAGCTGGCTATATTCCAAATATATCAATTACATATTTTTTATTTAATAAAAAAGAAACTACTTATAAAAAGATTGTATTAAAAATATGTATATATACTTAAGGAAATGAAAACAAATTGGCATTTCGATTTAAAACCATTACAATTTGTTTTGGTGATCGTCGAGTTTAAAAATACAGGATTTATAAGTTAAATGAAGCTTTTATATTAGATTTCATCTTAAGTACTTGTGTTCACTGTTCGTATATATTAAAATATCATGTAAAAGGAAAATATGAAGACTTAAAAATTGCGATAATCTGTTTTTGTTAGGAAAAATAATTTGTGTATTAAGAACATTAAAAAAGGTGTAATGAGAAAATTAATAACATGGCGGGCGAATGAAAAACCGTTAAAATTTATATTGAACAAAAATATGTTTCTACTTATATTTTCATGCAGCTAAAACGATCTGCACGATAAAGTTCTAAATTTGTCACACGCCGTTCAACAGCGAACTCTAATGCTTTATAAAAATACAAATTAGGAATTGCTTTTAACTTTTAATTATTAAAAGTTTGGCAGCATTAAAAAATACAGGGAAGAACAATGGAGGTAACAGCAAGATAGGAAATAAAGTACAGTTAAAAATATTTTAACTGAAAAAATTATTATCGATATTTTCAAGTAATTAAAAAATTCTGCTTGGTCAAATCTTAAAATTTGTCTTGTGTTGTTTCAACTACAAACTGAAATATTTTATAAAAATATAAATTACATTTTTTTAGTTTTACCTATTATTTTATTATTTATCATTTATTTAATTATTTTAGCTACATTTTGTGTATTATAATTTAACATTTAATGAGGTCATGCTTGGTGAATTTTGTCTGGTTTTTAATGAGGCAAATCGTAGTTGCCGTGAAGGAAATAAACTTTCCCAAGAGAGTTCATTGCTCCTGTGTTGATAATTGCTCTTTATTATCTGGTTCTTATTTATAATCTACATTATTTTTCGCGGCTTTGCAGTCTAATAAAGAGCGAATAAACACTTTCTAATGAAAGCAAGTTTTGTTCCAAAACTAGTGCATAAAATATAATAAATTGAAACAATGCCAATGATTTTTAATAAAAACTATTCAAATATCTCAGAATTATATTTGATGTCAAAAGATCTATAGATATATTACCTGCATATTTAACCTAGCGCAAAAACACAGTTATTTAAATTTTTCCAAAGCCTGACAGAATATCGTCTGGATTATAAATTATCCTGGAAATCTAGAGTTCTCCTGTAGAACAATAGCAAAATGATCGACTTAAAAGCAATTATGTGTTCTTAATAATATTATCAATCTTCTGGACGGAATATGTTTAAAGTTATTTCCAGATATCTGGAATTCTTATGCAGAATACTGACAAATTGAGCGATTCAGAAACGATATGTGTTATTATT